GAGAGATGGCAGCGCAGAGGTGACTGGCTCGGTCTGCAAGGCATCTGCATAACAAAACGCGCAATTAATAAAGTTCCCGGTGTTGAGGGCGACCACAAAAGAGCATTTCGTCCTTTCACCGTGTTCCTGCAACCTTTCGTCGCCCTTCACTCCCTTTGCCATCGCCGAACCTTGAAGACGGGAAGTAGGTTGGCGGGATTGCAGGGGATCGTGGAAACAAGCAGACTCCCGGCTACGGGCTAAATAAGTCAGGCTTTGTAAGGAATCCGCCGCGAAACTTCGCAATCTTTGCCACGCGAAACTGTCGGCTACGAATTTTTAATATCACACGCGCCTTTTCTGCATCCCGGATTCACGGAAATGGACTTAATTCGGCAGTCTTTGAGCAACTTCCTGCCAAACCGCGTCGCGCTCAGCAATTCCAAACTGCACACCTACCCATCAGGGATCGCTGAAGGATTCGCGGATTTTCTTCCGCGGTGGATCAGGAAAATAACGACGGATCGTATTTCGAGTCAATTCGTCGAATCGGGAAGTCCCGATTTTTACCGGGAATTCGATTTCCATCACGGCGATTGTGATCCAATTCACCGTGACGTATATGTATAAGTGACCGTAGCACCGAGAGAAGTTCTCTCGATTTTATTTCAATTTTATTTCACGTTCGACACGCGGAAGTTTGACAGATAGAAATGGATTTACCAAGTGGTTGTGGAAGGGTTCGCCGATTCATAAGAATCCGATATTCGCTGGATTTAAACCTCTCACTCGTGTTCAACGGTATCCAGCACAGGACTTGAAAGCGATCCAAAGTGTCTGCTCCTCGACTCAAGACCCTTTTCGCTTTACCAAAACGCGTCTATTATCCGTAAATTCCATTCTCGCGGGCAGCACGGATATCCAGTAACCATTCGACGGAGAGACGAAACGGAGCGTCCGCTACGCGTCCAACTGGGCGCCTTTCTTTTCATTAAAAGCTCAACAAACTTTCGGATGAAAATTCGCTTCTAGGGTGTCTGAATTGAATTGCTCGTCCCCCACTGTTCTCCGTTCTCCCCCTGCGAGGTGTTGGTGCAATTCAAAAGTTTTCCCGCGCAAAATGTGGCCCGCATTATTTATCAAACGCGGGAAACAGCCAGTCGGCCAGGATTTTAACGTTGCAAAGTACCCAGGCACGGTAAACAGTTTTCGGTTCCCGGTCGGCCAAGAGCCTGCCTGCTTAATATTTCAGACCACCCCGAGCTAACTTCATGCATACTTATGTCGCGACGTGTGACTTCGCAAGCTAGATAACTCCTGGCCAATCTTCCCCTTTGGATCTTAAGTTATCGTGAATTTCACTCTTCAAACCTGGCCACTCTTAGCAGATTAAATTCCACGATTAATCTTTTCAGTCTGCAATTTGATTAGGGTTGACATCTGTTGGGGAGAAGTTTTACTACAATCTGAATTATTTATGTGCATTTGGATATGTCACAGAGCGAAAGTGAGCTTCGATACTTCTGTCGGTGGTTATCAACGTGGTTATTGTCATGCACGTTTTGTTATATATTTCAATTTCTTCAAATGTACTATGCGTGGCTGAAAAGAAGTCATCTCGTTCGGCTGCGGGGCAAGAGGGGTATTCCACTCGTAATACTCACTCTTCTATGACACTCCCAAAACTACTACCTCCAAGTTCGGTAACGCGATTCGTTAACATAGGCGTAAGATATCCGTAAAATTCTTACACTCGAATAATAGAAAACGCAATTGAAGATCTAGGATTGGAAATACGAAGCAGTGAGTCGGATAAGGAATCAGATGACAATAGCTCGGAGGATTTATAAGGTAAAGGAGTACAAAAGTAATAATAATTAACATCATTTATGAAAATTGATTTAAAATTTAAGATGTATCTTTTATGATAAATTAATTATGTAATTGCATCGTACTAGATAACCGTTTAAAAAATCATACGATGCAACATAAATATAAAAAATATGTGTACAGTACAGCACGTTTGCTGCATAATGCAATGAGAAGTTAATCGAGATGCTAATTAGTAATTAGTAATTGCGAATAATCACGTGTTCATCGGAAGAATCTGAAGTTAATATGCTTTTGGGATGAGTCTACGCTCTTGCATCTATTTGTTGCGTCTGTCTCGCTTTGTCTCGTTGCTTCGTTCGCTTTCTTTGTCACATGGTGTTCTGTGACTGGGCTAATAGGAAGGGATCAGTTCTGCCAATAAGGGAACGCTTTACTCTACTTCTGCCATGACGTTAGAATGGTTGGGTTGGTGGGGACTCGGTCCTACAAGTTTCTCGGATGACTTCGTTTCAGTCACGCATAGTATGTAGGATTGGAATAAGTACGGCCCTGAAAGAATGTCAAGAGTGAGCTTAGAACGAAAGTGACCGTGTGCAAGAGGATTTACTGCAAAGAATATTTATGGTAAAGTCGAGTGAACGTTTAGGGATGCGTGCAGAGTGGTTGAAGTATCTGGCCCACAGAGGAGCATGATTGGGAAGGAAAGCCTGGGTACGAAAAAGGACAGAATGAATGGTTTAAATAAGGGTGCAAGGGCGCGGGCGAGTCGCATCCCTTTCTTTTCCTACCGTCCCTACTATCTATACCAACACTCGGAGGATATCTGTGACCAGCCCGACATCCAATTACCATGGGGGTGGACCCCACAAATGCAATGGAAGCGAATGCAGTCTCAAATGGGAGACGAAATCGTGTCTTTTGAATTTCTCACTTAGGCCACTCGATCTAGGCTTTATTTCATCTCGCATCCAGTAATCATTGTCAAGAATTCGACAATATTCTTCAATTACACGTTGACGTCCAATGAACATTTGCTATAACAGTTTTGGGCAATTTCATTTTAAAAAATTTGCATCCTTCTTCTTATCTTTCGAAAATTCCCTTTTTCGAAAGGGGATTTAATAATGAACCCAAAATTAGTGAGGAACATTAATTAAATAAAATAACTCTGGATTCATAAACGTTTCAAAAGTCATTTCAAAAGTCACAGGAACACGCTCTCCTTCCCAAAGGAAAATCCTGAAATTAAAATAATTTAATAAATTCCGACAAAGAAATTAAATAACCCTATATTAAAGCGATGTTTGCCATGCTCTTCGTTAATGAAATAGATATATATATAGGACAGTAAAAAGAAAAAGGAAGAACGATCGTTCACATAGATATTCTATAATAAACGTGGAAATGAAATATGACCAAACATGGTTCTCTAGAAGATTATCGTGAAGAATAAAATGTGTTTACTTTCTTCTATCTTCTATTGCTCTTTCACAAAAGTTCTTAATTCTTGATTGCACAAGTAGTTCACAATTTTACACAGCTATCTTAATCATTTTTTCTCGTTGAACGTTATCACAGCGTTGTTTATTACTTACTTTAATGCAATAAGAGGAAAATCTAATCGTGAGAGATAAATTGGTAGTGACAGACTATTCCTGTTTTCAAAGGAACATTTTATATATAGTATATTTTTATTTCATCTACATTTTTATACCTCATCCTCTTTTCCTCATTGTACTGTTTAATTCTTGGCTTCAAAGGAAGTTTCCATGAAATCTGATCCTTCTGTTCTTCCATTCCATTAATGGCACCTATGGTTAAAATGTACTCTGAATTTCTACTGTGTATTTTTATACCTGCAGTCAAATTAGTGGCTGAGAATTATAACGAAAATGTCTCGTTGGTAATACGAGCTGGGACATCCGTTTCATTTTATTTCACAGGTATCATCAATTTATGTAAGATAGTTGAGTCATTTGAATTTAAATTATTCGTTAGGAATTGACTCTTCGTTAGAGAATTGAATAACCCGAAGACAAAGAGTTCCGTCGAGAATTGACAGTTAATTTTGATATCAATGACAGTAACTCTGTCAGCATTTTATTGAAGCTACTCATTACCAATCGTGTATTAGAAATGCAATTAAATTTATAGAGTCTGGATACTTTTAATTATTTGATCTGAATTGAGCAACCTGAAGACAAAAAGTTCTCTCGAGAATTGACAGTTAATTTGGATATCAATGACAGTAATTCTGTCAGTATTTTATTGAAGCTACTCATTACCAATCGTGTATTAGAAATGCAATTAAATTTATAGAGTCTGGATACTTTTAATTATTTGATCTGAATTGAGCAACCTGAAGACAAAAAGTTCTCTCGAGAATTGACAGTTAATTTGGATATCAATGACAGTAATTCTGTCAGTATTTTATTGAAGCTACTCATTACCAATCGTGTATTAGAAATATAATTAAATACATAGAGTCTGGTTGCTTTTAATTATTTCATCAGCTGAGCAATGAAAGCGATAATCACGAGACGAATCACTGTGCCATTGCACGTTCAGTGAAGCTCCACAGCAACAGTAGCTGCGAAACGTCAAGATATTTTTTCAAATAAACACGGTTCGTATTCTGAAGCGTCTATTTTGTTAATGGCACGATACTTAGTCACGAAAGCTTTAGACCACTCGCGTGATTAAAGTTCCTCCATTTGGGATTATAGGAGACAACATGGGACCAAGAGTTAGTTCGATACTTCATCATAAACCAGCAAACTAGACCATTTGCACCATGTCACGATCCAGCAAATTAGATGTAACGACTTTTCACGATGAAACTGTCAAACGTGGTGCAATTATAAAATAAATGAAAACACAGTTACAGCAGTCACAGTTAGTAATTACAGAATAGAGATCAATAGTAGATTTGAGGCTCTAATTATGTTGTCATTTGTTATTTTCTTGGGGAAGGATTAGTCTAGGAAAATTGGCAGCAATGTTCACGAAACGTCGATATAAAAGAAAATTTGGTAAAATGCGAGATATTGAATATCGTCGTCGTAATTACTGTCATTATAAATAAGATATACTGTCAAATAAATAACTACAAAAATCATTATAAATTTTATGACATCGAAACTCGACTCGACGTGCATGCCAGGGTGAGAGGAATCGAGGAACCAACGTGTTGTGGAAAATATTTATTTTTCTTACATCGAAGAAGTAAAAGAAAAGCAGAAAGACACAAGACTGAAATAAAACTGAAGAGAGTAGACGTGAAATTCATTAATTTCGAGATTAAGTACGAGTTGACTTTAAATAGTGAAGAATAGAGTATCGTCTAACTTGAATTTACACTTTCAGCAACCCACTAGCACGCGTCACCATTGGCAACCCTCTTGATCTCCGTAGGATAATATGGATTCTCCCTTGGCTCGATTTTCAGGAAGAACCCGTTCTTCATTGTCAGATTAAACGATCCCTTGTGCAGTTCCGTCGGGATCGTAGTCTTGGACCCGACTTTGAGGTTACACGTGGCGAGTATATGGCAGAGCAACACCTTCATCTCTAGCAACGCGAACCGATTACCAATGCACATCCTTGGCCCCACGCCAAACGGCATGAACGCGCCCGAATTCACGATCTTCTTCTCATCCTCTATGAACCTTTCAGGATCGAATTTCTCGGGTTTCTCGTAGTATTTAGGATCCATTTGGATAGGTACAATAGGGACCCAGACGTTCATTCCAGGATTTATGGTGAAAGGTTTACCACCAGGCAAAGCGGGTGGCAACTCGAAACTCTTGACACACAACCTGTCCAGCATCGCGGCGATAGGATAGATTCTCATGACTTCGTTGATCACAGCGTCCAGGTATTTCATGTTCCGTAGCACATCGTAGGGCAACTGTCCATTGTTCTCCATCAAAGCATCATCGATTCCTTGCTGCAGCTTGGCCTGGCAATCGGGATGCACGGCCAACAGGTGTGTCACGAAACACAATTGCGAAACCACGCTGTCAAACCCACCGAAGAAGAAACTGAAAGAGTGGTAGGCCATGCTCTCCGCTGACATACCTTTGCCAGATTCCTTCTCGTCATTGATATCGATAAACATCTGAAGCACGTCCGACCGATGCGGCTTATACTTTCGCCTCGCTTCAATCTCGTCCAACGCTAACTCGGCGAAGAATTTCTCTACATACCCTTCCAACATCTTCAGACGAAAGAGCCTGGCTAGCCAGGGCATGTTCCTGTTTATCAACATGATCACAGTCTTCTTATAAGACGTGAACATTGTACCTATCCTGCCGTACACGTAGAAGACGTTCTTCGGCTCCTTGATGCTGTCAACCGTGACACCGTACACGCACTTGGCGATCACGTCGTTGGTGTACTTGCACAGCAAGGCCTTCATGTCCGTTTCACGCTCGCTTTCCGGCAACTTCGATACGTAATTGCTGAACCTTACCGCGCAATGAGACATCAGCTGGAACATGTTCTTGATCTTGCTGGAGGTGAAAGCGGGTGACAGCATGTTCCTGTGCTCCTTCCATTCCTCGCCTGTCATGGAGAACAGCATATTGGCGAGCATGGGGTCTAGGTCTTTGTACATGAAGGTACGATGGTCAGAGAAGTGGTCGAAATTCTTCGTAGTGATGGACTTGATCAGGTCCAGGTCACGGATCATTATTATTGGCGTTTGGAACTCGTAGATGCCGACGTACTTTGCTTCAGTGTTTATGAAGTACACATCTTGCAGCAGATCGTACAAGCTGCTTCGCTTCAAGAACATCGAGCCCATGTTGCCAAACAATGGCGCCGGTGGAATATGCAGGATCCCATGATCCTTGAAAAAGCTGAGCTTTCTGGTGCTGTAGTAATATAGGGCGATAAGTACAGCTGTCAAAGACAAAGCGATGGATAGGTAATCCATCTTAACGGTGTCAACTTATTGCTGGCGCATTCAGTACTGTCACGATGTTCACTCTCTTCGTTTACTTAGAAGACTGAACGCCGGGCGATGATTTCCGCATGGAATGTTCTTTATACACAGGAACGGCTCAATAATATCCAATACCCTGGTCTCCCTCCACGCTTATCTTGTGTGACAGCTAAATTATATCAGACAGATAACTCTGTTATCCAATCCGGCTATATTCACGCGATGAAATGAATTGCTACAGAATTGATATGACCAAAATTTATCAGATGATTAATAGAGGATGTGACAAATTGGAACAGCACTTCAAATTAGTTTCCTAAGCTGTGTGTAACGTTTGCAGTAATAAGAGAGAGGAAAGCAAGAGGAAAGTTATTTCTTCGTGTGGGTGTTAGATATTGTACAGGAAAAACTCCTAACCAAATATTGTGTGTAGAAGCGTGAGTGTGTGCGTGTGTGGATGAGCAGTGCGTGAGCTGAAGCGTGAATCATCGTGTTTTAGTATATAAAGAATTGAAGCAGAGCCAAACACGCGTGTACTGTAAGGAATATTGAAACCAATAAAAATCGAACAATATTTTGTATTATTCAGTATGTAACCTAACCTAACCTAAAACCTTATCTTATCCAAAGTTAATTTAAATTTAAATTGTTACATATTTAGTTCGTGATATTAATGATAAATATTTAAGGCTAATACGTTATGTTTATATTGAATATGGGAAAATTATATTTTAAAAATATTAACAATTTTCAACAGCTGCTAAAAAGTTTCATTTCATTTTCTTATAGTCGATACCTAGTTCTGGGAAATATGATGCGAAAGTAATTTCTGTTAGAAAATTGTTTTCCTGCCAGGAATCCCACTGCGTCATAGTTTAAAAGGAAATCAACTTTCTATTATATAACGTGTCATTACGCGAGATTTTTTCTTTATCTTGGTAACTATACGTTATCACTACACTCGTTTGCATATTACACGGTTTGATACAAGAGACGTAGAGAAGTGTACAGTGAAATAATAAATATCTATTATTTTTCCACTCTGATACGACTTATTACTTTTAATGTGACGAAGTAAACGTGATGTAGACACAAACTGATTACTATATCATAATGTATGAACGTTATCTGAAACAATGCTTCATACAGCAGAGAATTCGAGAGAAATTTATGGTTGTAAACGATGCGTACATTCGTCAAATTTGATTCCTCTATATTTTGTGATAACACTACTTAAAGATTCATTTTCTAGAGAATACTGTAGAAAATTGTATAATATAAAAAAAATTGAAAATATTCAAATTTAACATTTTCCCAAATATTAATGTTGCTTAAAAGTATTAAATCTTTATTTTCGTTAAATTTTATTGAATCTATATTAAATCTATATTTTTATACTTAGGTATTAAATCTTTATTAAATCTTTAAAATATTATTATTCGATATATATATCCTGATAATGATACGAATAATTATTTGTGAACTTATTATCTATCATTACTATTTTGTAACGACCCAGAAACAATTCTCTGCTCATCTCTGCTGAGACTAGCAGTACCTAGGTATACTCCAATACAGCTGCCAAATTCTTGCTTATCTCATCTCTGGTGTGTCAATCGGTATCAAAGATCAAAGCTGAATTTCTATTCGTGTTAATATATTACAAATTATTAAAAACATTGTAAGAGACAAATATATAGACCTGACTTGATGCATGTAACTCGAGTGTTGAATTAGAAGAAATTGGATAAAAATTAAAACGTGGGCAAAATAAAATTGTCGTATCGCAACAAAGATTAAAGGCTTATTTAGAATATTAGAATAAGGCTTTTATTTTAGAAATAATCGAGGGAGCATGACCAGGGGTACACTCTTCTCGACAACTGACTCAGGATTTTTGGGTTCTCTTCCACATTGGGAAAACTCTGCAACTATGTGTAGACACCTTCAGACCACGTCATAAATTTCATACATCCACTCCAACATCGAGTACTTAGCTTAGGAAGAAAATCATCCCTCTAGTGATCCTGACTTAATCCTTTAATTAGTATATTCGTTTGAAGGCTTCGTTCGAACAGTTTCAAAATCCCTAGTGTCTAGTTTCAATGAGAGCAATTTAGCGAGATCGTCTTTACCATGCAATATGCAAGTCGACCTTAGAAAAGTTATTCGAGAAGACACGTGAAGACAGGTAATGATATAGAAGGATCTATATTAATTTCCGAATTTAACATCTTCTTGCAATTTCTTTCATCTCCGTACTCACGTACATAAACACTCCATCAACCTCCGGTTTACGTAATCACAGGGAGCTTAAACCACGTAACAGAAATAGACACTGTGTTTCGTTTCTTCCCATCATTTATGTCTCGTCTCTTCCCACCAGCCGGCCAGGTCCCCACATAAGGGATTCGGTCAACAATGCGGCAAGATGTTTGATGAGCCGATCGATCACGGGCTCTGTCAGTTTTCCAGTTCAAATGTAGCCATGTGCACGCGTGATAGCACGTGTTGGACCTTGGTTGCGGTTGTGTGAACGTTGCTCTGTACGAACAGAGATCAGCCTCGAAGCTATTCAGAATTATATCGTATTTTCTGATCAGAGATTTCCTGCTCGTATTTGCTAGAGCTAAGAGGGCTAGAGGATTCATTTTTCTTTTCTGTTTTAATCGAGAGCTTAACGTCGCATCGACAACGAAGTTATTAGCAACATGAATCGTTAGGTGTTGGTGCTAGACGTATTCGTACAATTGTTTGTTGCATTGAACGAATTTGAGGGTATTTTTAGCGTTTTCTGTGTTGCTGAAAATTTCTTTCAACACTAGGTTTACGGACGCTATTTGACACCTGTCAAATTGACAGGTAAACGAAACCACGCTTCTTTTTTCTAGTGATTAGTTTAATTTGAAAACAATTACAATATTAACAGTCCTAATATAAGTTAACTAAATCTGTTACCATCGTATAATTGGAGCAACCTATCCGTCAAATTGACGGGTTCCGTTAATGAGTTAGGAACCTTTGCCTGGGTTCGTGAAGCTTCGTATTCCTCACAAGAAAATAAAATATGTTCGATGGTTAAGGGATGTTGGCACTTGTCGCAGTAGGGTGGGGGTGTTTTTATCAGAAGGTGTTCCTATGTAATTCTAGAATGTCCGATTTGGTTCCTATTTAGTACGACTTGGTCTCCTCTGTTAGCAGGTCTTCCTATTCCATTCTCAAGAAAGTCAGTTAGTTTATTTGATTTCTTAGAGTTCCATTCGAGGTTCCGAGTTTGTTTGATGCGAGATGCTAATACTTTCTGATAGTCTCGGTGGGGTATAGGTATGGTATCTAATGGAGGTATACTAAGTGCTCCTTTAGAGGCTTTGTCTGCAGATTCATTGCCTCGGATTCTTTGGTGCTAGGGTTAGACATTCCTTGGTCACATACAAGTGTGATTTGGTTGTTGTTATTAAGGAGTTCCAAATGAAGTCCTAATATATCTGTTACTATGGGATTGTCACTGGGGAATTATTGTGTGGCTAATATTGCGGATTGTGAATCGCTGTATATAACAATTCCTTTGTATTGCTCATTATGGGCAATTTTGAGTGCTTCATGGATGCATTCTCCCGTAAAGATGTTTGACGATTCATTTTGCTTTGTACCCAATTTTTATTTTTAATTGTTATTATTGGGACTATGGGTTCTAATTGTAAAATAATTACGATATATATATATGTAAGATGGTATTTCGGAAAAAGAAATCACGAATCGGCCAATGCGGATTTTATTTATTTTAGAAAAACAAATTATAAACCGGCCAATGACGTATTTTTGGCTAACCGATTATAGCTGAGAGTAGTGTTCACACAGTGCTATACTTTCAATGAGAATTCGACTACCACGCGTGTTCGTGTCACCCTGACGTGTGTGAACGTTGCTTCCCATTAATACCAAGTGCAAAAATTACCAAATCGGTCGAAAGATCGTGTGGTTTGAAGTATTATAGATCTAGACTTTTCTTCGAGAATAGTAATGCATCGTAGTGATGATATCTTGGTGATATGTTTGTTGTACCGCGTGGTATGAAGGATGAGGTCCACGCGGGTTTGGGTAGAATTTGGATAATGCTGCTACCCTCTTCTCAATGTGTCGCGTCATTTACGAGACATTGAGCACTTCGGTGGTGCAATAAAGCGCAGTTTCTGGTGTATTTACACTTTATTACACGTTCTGTGAGTTGTATGATGATTGTGTGCAGTGTATCGTCTCAACCTTTGCCGTTTCGTCTTGCTTCGTCTTCCGTTTTGTCTTCTCGTTTTATGTGTTTGACTGAGTTTCGATACCGTCTTGTTGTTTTGTGTTTTGCGTCTTACTACCGTCTTGTTCGTGTTACTCCTCACTGTCGTCTGATCTCTCGTTTGTCTACACTCTGTTTGGGCTACTGCCTGTCGTCTCGTTTTGTCTAGTCTTGGTTTGCTGTGATTGGAGGACAATGAGTGTAGAAGGAGGAAAATTAGAGTCTTTTCATTGGACAAGGAGTTTTGGCGGGCTCTTGGGTTAGGAGAGGGAATATGACAGGGAAGTTTCTCCTTTTGTCATTGTTTTGTCTTGATTTATGCGTACGTCTGGTTGGCAATTTCGTGGGTCAGTCGCACGTGCGTCCCGTCTGTTGGGCCTGGTCTCAAGTATTGCTATCCCTAGTCCTTGTCTTGATTTATAACTTGTGGATCCTGAAGAGGAACGGCTAGGCGCGTTTTCCAACTATTATTCCCGTTGCAACAGACCTAACTTTTGGGAATGTAGGAAGTATTTTAGTAAAACTCGTCGCTTTACTCTTTGGTAACTCTTTTATTCTGTGACGACAGTCCACGCGAATCACCAATAAAACTCCAAAGTCCAAGATGCAACCCTGTGACGGCAGCCAACACGATGACTATGACCGATGACTAAAGCTCTAAGCTCCGAAATACAATCCCTTTCGAACCGCCTAGGATAAGATAACAGGAAAGTTAGTTTTGCTCCAACTCTATGTACGTTCACTTCTCTTACTTTATACCTACTCCACGGATAGTATCTCATAGAGGACTAGTTCATTCTTCATCGCTACAAGTTAGTCTCGTG